TTCTTTTGGCCGCTCTGCTCACGTCTCCCCAAATCCTGAAGTTGGGATCCATCAAGACCAAAGAACATATAAGGATGGAGAGAGGCAGTTCCTCTTCTTGCATGATCACCCTGAAAGGACCTGCGGCTTTGGAGGACTAGCTCCCACATAGAACATTCTAGACCCTTCTTTGAGTTATCTCACAAAGAACCCCATTTTGCCATCCTGAGACAAATCTGTAGGTTTCTCACCCTGTCTGGGTGCAGGAGGTAGAGTGAGACTCGTTAGTGTCTGTCTGGAATGGGCAGGCTCTACACTGTACTTATAGAGGGCTAAGTGGAGCAGTTGTGGGAAGAAGGTCTATCATACCCACAAAGATGCAGGAAACTTGCTGCTAAGCTTCTCTGGGATCTGGCTGCAGGAACTGCCTACAGAAGGCAACCAGGAGGTAGTAACAAAGGGCAATGCCCTGGATGTCTTTTCCTATGAACTTGATTAAGCTCTTTGAGGGCAACAAGCATGCCTTCTCTTCTGGGATGCACAACTGCACCTAGCACTATGCTGAGGATATAGTACAAGCACAACAAACACTCGATAAAGTGGACTGGATTAATAAGAATTTCACTCTGTGGGAAGCCAGATTTGTCAGCTTACACTAAAATGCTGGACTCTTTCAGGTGGAAAACATTGTTTTACTGAAAGAATATCATTCTCTTCTTTTCTGACCACATATGATAGGGTATTGTGAGTTTCAGTTGTTATTGAGTTGATTCTGACTCAGGCAGAGCCTATGTGTGTCAGGGTAGAACGGTGGTCTGTAGAGTTTTCAATGGTTGATGTTTCAGCAGTAGATTACTGGGGCCTTTCTTGTTAGCGATGAACTGTTAACTGTTTGAACCATTAAGAGACTTCTAGTTCTTCTAAGGAATCGAAAAATGAGTGAATTCAGATGAATAAGAGGTAGGGTTTGCGTTATTGATAGGCTTGAACTTGACTGCTGGAGCTATTCAGCCGAAAGTAACTACAGAGAGTTCAGAGCTGGCAATGATGCTGATGTAAAATGCAGATGTCTTGGTTAATTAGTAATGTCTGTCATGGGTCAAGAGGAGCCCTGGTAATATAGTAGTTACATATTGGGCTATTAACTGTAAGGTCAGCAGTTCAAAACCACCAGATGCTCCTTGAGAGAAAGACAAGGCTTTCTATTCCAGTCAAGAGCTGCAGTCTGGGAAACCTACAAGGGTAATTCTACCCTGTCCTGTGAACTGGAATTGACGTGGGTTGCTATGAACTGGAATTGACTTGAATGCTGGTTTGGTGGATCGTGGGCCAGAGAAAGAAGAGTGTAGCCCATGCCTCATCTTTTCCATTTCTGCTGATGGAAGGAACAGGGGTCCAGAGTTCTAATCCCAGATCTACAACCACTTCTATGACCTTAAAAGATGAATGACTGACTAAACTAACAACATGGACTTTAAAGCTTACCATCTCTGGGAAGAGCAAAGAGATGGAAGCTCCCTCTCCACCCCACCCCTGCTTTATATAAGCTCTCTAAACATTGACCTAAATTCATTTGTATGAGTAGTCTTATAATGTGCTGAATGCAGCCTCAGCCAGCATGGTCGCTTAACTGAGGCTAAACCACTCCTCTAAAAATAGACTTCTAAATCCACTGGTGCCAGTTTGTCTGTGGGGGCCATGTGTTGCTATGATGCTGGAAACTGCTACCAGTATTTCAAATGCCAGCAGGTCACCCATGGTAGACAGGTTTCAGAACTTCCAGATTAAGACAGACTAGAAAGGAAGGCGTGGCAATATACTTCCCTGAATCAGCCATTGAAAACCCATTGGCTCGCAAGAGAACATTGTCTGACTCACTTGCTATGGAAGTCAACAGGAGGGATCAATCGCTAGAGGGGGACACTGTGTTTGGTGCAGCAGCAGGTCAGAGATGGTGAGGATGTGATGGGTCGTCACCATATAATTTCAATGATGGGCTCACATACGAGAATGACGATGAAGACGGTGCAGGACTGGGCAACTTCTCTTCATGTTGTATGTGGGTAGCCACGAGTCAGAGCGGACTCTATGCAACAAACAACAATTTAATATAGAATAGTTTACAGATGGTTTATTCTCTTAAAAGTTCCTTTCTTGTTATGTCCCTGTAAATGGCCTTTTTAAAATGTGACTTCCAGAATGTACACAATACTAGAAATTTCTCTGGCTGTAGGTAAATCTGCCGCACATGACCTCTTTAGGGTGTGGAAGAGCAAGGTTGTCCCTTGGAGAACTAAGGTGTGCCTGACCCAAACCATGATGTTTTCAACCACCTCTTCTGCGTGTGAAAGTTGGACAATAGAATCAATGCATTTGAATGATGGTGTTGGAAAAATATTGAAAGTACCATGGACTGCCAAAAGAACAAACAAATCTGCCTTGAAAGAAATGTAACCAGAATACCCCTTAGAAGGGAGGATGGCGAGACTTTGTCACACATACCTTGGACGTGTTCTCAGGAGAGACTAGCTCCCTGACAAAAGACACCATGCTCAGTAAGGTAGAAGGGTAGCATTGTACATAGGGTCTCTGAATCGGAAACTACTTGATGGCGTCTAATAACAGCAACAAGTGTAGATTCATTTAAACTACCATTACTATCATTGTTAGGTGCTGCTAGTTGGTTCTGACTTACAAGGAACCTACTATGTACAGCAGAAAGCTGGTTTAACCCAGTTTGGACAGAGTAGTTGGTAATAAAAGTACCTATGTTTAGATTCTGGTTTTTTTTTAATGTGTTTTTGTTTGGGTAGCTGTATCATCTGAGGGCTGTATTTAATTTCCATTTGAAGTTGAAAACATTTATTTTTAATAAAAGTTCAGAGTTTTGCAATCCAATACAGCCTCAAGATTCCAGGCTGGGTTCAAAAACCACCATATGACTGGAGGCCAGTGACTTCTTTATGTTTCATGAAATGAGACTTACGTCCTTCAGGGGAAGTATGCCGTGTAGCATATGAAGTGAGCGTAAAATCCCCCAGTGGGAAACACACTCGTGATGATATGAAAAGTATGAATCACAGGGAGTGGTTGGCTGCCCTTCTATGCTGAGCTCTAATCCCCATCACCAAGACAAGCTCTCAGGTTAGGCCATATAGCTCTTCTCATGTGCACGAATCTTTATATCCAAGGAAACATTTCCAGGAAACGTGAAATCTGCTAGAGTTCTCCCCAGAGAGCCTCAGTTTGGCATCGTCCTCACTCTCCGTTAGCAGCCTGGGAAAGTGTCAGCGGACAACCCAGCAGAAACTGGAGTGGGTGGGGGGATGGGGTGAAAGAACCACGCCATCTGTTTATTGGGAGAAGTTAGTTATATTTAAAGATTTTATCTCAGGCTTGTCATGGTGAAACATTTTTGAATATTACTTAGTGTGAAATAAAGGCTTTTATTTTAATATTCTTTCAAAGTGATCCCCCTTTCATGAACAAGAAGCCCCAAAGCTATGTGAAAGCTCCTACTCTAGTTTGCAAACTGAAATGTGTGCAACATACGGGCTGAGTATCTAATCTGTCCTCCTAAGGAAGTCTAGTACTTTCCCAGGCAGCAGGAAGCTTGCATTTCCTTTACTGTTGTCCCTTATAGAGCCAGAAGCACATGTGAGACATCACAGCACCATCACCAATTCATTGTATGATTTGTTTCCTGGTACATTCAACCAGGTGCACCAGGATTCACCTTGCCACAGACTACAGAGGCTTTGGGCAGGCCATGCTGGCTACACTGCATCCTTCCATTAATCACTTACATAACAGTGCATCCCTCGGGCTGGCAAAGGAAGAGTTTGTCTCGAGCTCATTTCCATCAGGTTTCGCTTACCATGAAATCTTAGGGAAAAAGACAAAACCTACATCTCATAGAGCTGCCTGAGGGTCACAGATAAGCAAAGCCCACAGATAGTACATCTTATCTGAAAACATTCGATTCGAGTGTCCTCAATGAAAACCCTCTCATGCTGCAGTCCAGAGAGATGAGAGGCTTCTTGGTTGTGTAAACCATTTGGAACCTACAAATCTAAACAACTATGGGAACTTGGTTGCAAAGTGTGGAACTCCCCCTTGTTTTCGTTACTGGTTCTTGAGAGCTGGGCCACACATAAAGTCAATGAGTAGGGTCTGGCCAGACCACCTGGCCAGGGAGACCACCTGGGGGCTAAGAGTGACTAAGCTTCAGCAGACATGATGTCATTGATGATGGCCGTGGGCGAGGACAATAAATGCCTAGGAAGATGAAGTTCACTGGAGCTACTTGTGTGGAGAGAGCTATCAAGTGAATATTTACTCTTGGGAGGGTCAATGTGTCCCCTGGGCACAAAGTAGACACTGTTCTGAGCACCCTCCTGAACCTTGCTCTATGAGTTTCTTCTTCTCCTTGGTGTATTAATGATAGGTTTTTCCCTGGATTTGTGAGTTATTTCAATGGATTATCAGACCTAAGAAATAGAGAAGAGGTTGCTAGCCACTGACCTAATACCAAGTGAATGGGAATGAAAGATGGAAACGGTCAATATCTGTTGACCTGACTCCAGGTGCATAGGAATGGGTGAAAGGGACTGTGCGGAGCATCTGGGGTATGTACTGAGCAGGGAAGGATGGCTGAAATTTCCACAGGACACATTTGTGATGCAACTGGTGTCAGAAGTGGGATTCACTTACCTGGTCCTGGCTTTGGACAGTCACCACTGTGAGAACGGTGACCTGGAATCCTGACTCCTTAGTAATTTATCTGACCTATCTCGAAGGCATAATGCATTTTCCATGTTCAAGAAAAGACCAGCACCTGAAGTAGAAAGTACCCTGCCCTGATGTGCAGTTTAGTTCAGGTACAGACCACTGATAGTATCTCAACATTCCAGGAACTCCCCTAGTCCAATAACTTTCCACTTCAGTGTACATCTTCCCTGGAAACTTGTAGATGTTAGCAAGTAGCACCTTTGTTCCAAAAAGTCCCACACACGTATCCATCTAATGAACCAGTACAAACTTAGCCATTTTAATTAATATTCTTGCAGACAAGAAGGTATATGTATATGCATATATACATATATTTATATATCAAAATTGAGAATTTACAAATAAGATTTGATACATTTAGCCTAGCAGTGGGTAAGTCCATGGGATAAATTTCAAGTGGGATACAGTTGCATTGGTGGTATTTTTAGTAATTCCATTCTACTGAGACAAAGAGATCTGAAGCATGCATTCAGTGAGCTTTGGAGGAGTGCAGCGAAAAGAAACTGTGTTTAGCTTTCTGTGAGGCAAACTTAGCATGTTCGTGTTGTTCCCTGGAGACACAAGAATGTCTGAGTTTTGTGTCCAAAAAAGATTGAAAATCACAATGTAGCAGTGGCATCCCCTGTAGCGGACATTTCTGATGTCTCTGGGGACGTGTTCTCGCAAACAAAAACTGAGGAGAAGCGGTGCAGACGTCCTGATTGAATCCTGTTTGTTGTCCTGATCATGGAGGGAAACAAGGGTTCCAGATGGAAGATAACCAGGATGTACAGTGTCGCCACCTGAAGACAGGAGAGCAGATCACCTGCCCCGAGCCCCTAGTGCAAGTTCGTCCATGGGGCAGATCAGGGTAGCTCTCAGCATGATTACCCTGTGGTTACCACTTTCCTGGGATGGAGACCCCACACTCGTACCAACCCACATAGTAGTAGGGAGTTCCAAAACCAATCTGACCGAAGCTGACAGGTTCCTGGCGGTACTGGCGATGGTAGCCTGGAAGGAAAGTGGGAAGAGAGGGAAGGGAAATGCATCAAACGTGCCTGAGCCAACAGGGAAAACATCTCCTCCTTACAACCTCTGTTCAGATGGAAGACCTTTGATAGATTGTTTCTATGGCAATTGTCACCGCCCAATAAGTATAACCATTTTAGGATGATGGTTCTCCAGAGTAGGAGGCTCTTTCCAGGCATGATCTAGGGGCTACAGCAGGACCACAGGGTTTGTCACAGGTAAGGAAGTGTCCCCATGGCAGCACTCTCCCCATAAAGGAAGATAATTTTATCCAATTGGTACTAAACACATGGAGCCCCAGGGGTCAAGCGCTCAGCCATGATCAATAGGTCAGCTATTGGAACCCAACCCGTGGCACTGTGGGAGGAAGATGTGGCAGTTTGCTTCCATAAAGACTGCAACCTTACAAATCCTCTGGACCAGGTCTGCTTTGTCCCCTAGGGCCGCTGTGAGTCTACATCTATTCAACAGCAGGGTTTGTTTGGGGGATGAAGTTTCACTGAGAGGCAGGGCTACAATGATGAGCAGATTCCCATCGGTCCTCAGAATGCATGACCTCTGAACCTTTCTCACTTGCCATGGTATGTACTCTGAGTCACTCCCTCTTACATACTTTCCACATATTCATTTTCCCCCAGCTACAGAGCATGCTCCTGTGAGCAGAGATGAGATCACATGCTACTTTGTGAGCCTCCCACTCCAAAGCCCACCTTAAGCCCAGCACCTGGCAGTAATATATTGTTGGTTCATTTCTTTGTTTTTCACTTTTGAGGATACAAAACGCTACCAGCATCCATTGCCGAATGGTAACTGGAAAACCGCAAGTGAATGTCCTCCTCTCCTTGCACGCCCAGTACAACGATCAGGCGCTTGTTCACATTACCTTGGATCGGAGGCAAGGCTTCTATGTAGGACTGAGGCCCTGTTCTTCCATCAAGGTGTGAGTCCACAAACTGGCAGTGGTCTTCACCTCTTCCCCAGCTGTCTCCAATGCTGTAGAAAGTGTCTGTACAGAGGAGCATAATGGGCCAGTAAATAGCCAAAGAATGGCATCGTGTTGAGGAGTTTGCACACACATTGGAGGTGCTTAGCACATTAATTAATCTCCACGTGCCATACTTACCTTGTATGGAAAATGTTGTTACTGCCACCAACCTGTTAAGTGTTGTTAAATCTTTATCATGCAGCAAGGTCTTATATGCTAAGTACTGAGCAAATGTTCAATAACTAGACAACTTACTACTCAGAGAGGATCAGCTTATAAGTGTTAGATTTATTTTTTACTCCTTGTTTTTGTTTGTTTGTTTTGTTTTTAAGAATTGGGTAATTGTGGTAGTTGCAGAATATATTAGGAATGGTTATGAAAGACATAAAGGTATGTGAAAATAGAATAACTTATTTTCATCCACAACTCTTTTATAAGGAAGGGTGAATGTGGGGGCGGGGCAGGGGGGGTGCACACAACTGTCCATGGTGCTGAACTTCCCTTCATAGTAGGGCAACGTGGCTTCTCCCTTCAGTGGGTGAGTGGGGATGGCTGTGCTATCGCTCCTGGTAACTGTGGAGCAGGAGACGGAAAGGTGGGGGAGTAACTGTGGAGCAGGAGACGGAAAGGTGGGGGAGTGAGAAAGAGCAGAGAGAGACAAGCATGGAGGGGGTGTTAGGAGAGGCATCAATACAGAGAAACTGCCATAGTGATGGGGAGAGCCGGGGAGGGGATGCACAGCTAACAAGAAACAACAAAACAACACACACAAAAACCGACCAGTGACAAAATAGACACCACCGGTGGGAGAGCTTAACTACTCTATGTATCCAACAATGGAAAGTCTCAAGATTCTCTAATTAAAAGAAAAAAGTGTGTGTGTTGGGGTGGCGCGGGGAGCTGGATGGAAACCGTGTGGTTAGAGTGTTCGTCATTCCCAGTCTCCAGGCTCCTTTTTGTCTTAACTGTCTAGCACCAGGAAAACAATGTAGCGTTTCGTTCTCGCATGTCTTTCACTCTCTACAGCTTTGCCTTTGTAAAGTCGCATGAGTGGAGGGAGGGGCTGAGAGGGGGATGTTCCCTCATCACTTCCTGTTTTCATCATCCGTGGATGAATGGTTCCAGACAAGCCTTTGCCTAGCAGTTCTCAGGTTTTATCGCTAAAGAAACAATGGATTTTTTTTTAATTATTTGGATACTCTCCAAAAAAGCTCATCTGTCCCGAGTGGAGCTGGCCGAATGATTGGCATTTCAGCCACAGTGAGGTATGGTGGGTCCATGCTTCAAACAGATTCTGACACACCTCATTTGTTGCATTAGCACCCGAAACAATAAGCATCGTCCACATCGTCCCAAAGACCTACCTTTCAGGTTATCGCTGAGGTAGATCTTATAACGCAAGGAGTTACAGAGGACGACCCCCACAAACTTCCTGTACCATGTCCGCTTCACGTATTTCCGGCCGTGGCAGTCGGTGTAGCCAGGGTCATGTTTGAAGGCAAAAGGGATCCAGATGGGCTCACCACCTTGATGACACACAAAAAACCTCTCTGAGCCCTGGGGCTTCCCAGAGCCGAGCTCCGCCCAGAGTGTCAGGAGATCTCCCTCATTCGTGGGCTTTGCCTCCTCACAAGGCCTGTCTGTGGAAAGCCTTCCCATCTCCCCAATGGGCACCTTCCTCCCCTCTCCCGCCTGTCTCGGTTCTGCAGTCCCCTGGGGGAGCTCCTTTCCGCTGATCAGCTGAGGTCTTGCCATTTCAACGAGGAACTCTACGAGTGAAGAAAGGGCTTGAAACCCCAAGGAAAACACTCTGGAAGGGCTGTCGTTTAGAGGCATGGCACCCTCCCCTTAAAGTGCCTATGCACTGGGGGGTTCTCAGTGTGTTTGACAACAAAGAATATACGTTGCACACAGTGTGTTTGGCTACCTTTTGAGCAATCTAAAGAATCCAAAAGGACTGCAGAAACTAAACTGCTTCATAGCTACTGGGTACCCATCACAGGTTGTTCTAGCGATTGGCTGCTATGGCCTGCCCTCCCCCCACCCCACCCCACAAAAGACCCCAGGTCCTTCTTTTCCTCACATCAGGAAGCGGCCAAACCATAATATTTGTCAGAACATCCTAAAAACGAAAGCCAACGGTCCAGCCTTTATATTTGTCAGTAATCAAAGCAATCTCATATTCCAGAAGAAACCCGATCTCGGGTGAGCCACTTACCTGGTGGCCTGACGACTAGCAGAGGGTTGTCTGTGGGGGGAGAAGAAGACAAATGACATCACTACCCACCAACGGCCCAGAGTGACTGTGCTGCCAATCACAGCCACCAGGCTGCCACTGGTTTGAAAAAGGGATACTCGCTGGGTGCCACCCAAAGGTTTCCCTTGGGTTCTGTTTTCCAACCCTATTCTCTTAACACTCTTTTTCGCCGTATTGCCTTGTGATTGACTTGTAAGCCTTGGCTAACACAGGGGTTACGGGGCCAGGCCTCCCTCACAGTGGACAATCCACGTACAGCTTGTTGTGGTGGCTTCTGACCAGAGCGTGGCTGAACAGATTTTTCCCTTGTCTCCATTGTAGTGAGTTCAAGTGTTGTGAGTGCCTGCAGAAAATGCTGGTGTACAGGGTGAAACACAGCTGGAATGCGTAGGTCCCTTACATTGGATAACACATCATCACGCACTGTTTTGAAAAATGCCTGCCTTTGATGAAAGGGAAGGACATGAAGGGGATGGAAAAGTCCTATTATCTTTTAGTTCCATTGTTTTCATGCACTTTTTGAAGGTACACCCTCTACCCCACAGGTAGAAGAAAACGCACCTTGTCAAAACTTTGCATTTCAGAGCCAGATAACGCATTCACATCAATTCCTATCCTCAGGTACGTCTCAGACCTGAGTTTATTGGTAGGTTTTCAGGTCCTAATGATCTCATCTTTCTCCAGAGCCTTTGATCAAATGAAGTCTAGTAGTTTCAATAGATCCATCTTATTTTTGGAAAATGCAGCCATCAGCACAGAGGTATCTCTAAGCTGACAGATTAATCACCGACCATGGCTGCTTCTCTCTCTCTCTCTCTCTCTCTCTCTCTCTCTCTCTCTCTCTCACTAGATTCTCATATGTCACAGGTTAGAAACACCCATGAGGTCTTTCATCTACAGCCTTAGTGCAATGTTTTCATAAAAGATTATATTTTCCCACATAATTTGATTCAATAGATTTTGAGTCATTGCACTTAAAACCCATTCCTATGGCAAATCTTCCCAGATGATGCTACATTAGGAGACAATAGAACAAAGTAGAAACTCCAGCCACTTTGGTTATAGACCTGGCTCAGCTGGGCTGAGGGGATGGGCCTGGCTTTGGGCCACAAGTTAGTCTGAACCCTCAGCTGGTTTGCTGTATGGCTAGGTCACTGAGCCCAGAATGACCACAGGGCACCAGCTCTACCTTGTGCTGCCTCAGATCACAAACCAAAGGAACAGCTTCTTCTTCTTTTGGGGGGTGGGGTGGGGGTGGGGGTAGGGTAAGGATAAAATAATAATCATATAAAGATAAAAATACAAATAATGAGTACGAAAGAAAAGACCATCATCAATATTTTAACAGCCAGGGAAGAAATATTTGTCATGGAACAAGTAGGAAATACTTGAACCTAGAGCAAATTCAGGTTGGGTCAAGAGGGAGGTCAACTGACCAAGGATCAATTCTGATCCAGCATCATCAAGTTTACAATGAGCTCTGTCTGACAGTAAAGCTGCCTGGGACCCTTGCCTGCGGCTACAAGGGGTCTGCCGGAGGCTTCATCAGACTAGGTGCTCTGCAGACAGATTTTGGGCTCCCACTGTCCTTGTCCTCCAAAGCCTTCTACAAATTGGGTGCTCACAATTTAAGCTCAGGTATCATTCCCTTCTTCAGATTTGGATTATATTATTTATAATCCTTGGATCACACAAGCTGGTGTGCTTCTTCCATGAGGACCTCATTGACTCCTCACGTGGATGGCTGCTTGTTTGAATACAAGCCTTTAAGCCCAGACGCTATCAGGAACACATTCCAGATGATCGAGTGAGGCCTGTTGGCCCAGGGAGCTACGCATAGGGATGCTAACGAAAAAGTCCGCTGGTTCCAACCCACCAACCAATCTTCAGGAGGAAGATGAGGCAGTCTGCTCCTGTGAGGATTTACAGCCTTGGAAATCATAGGAAATGGTCTTGCTCTGTCCTACAGGGTAGCTTGAAAGCCATGGTGGCGTAGAGGTTACACAATGGGCCGCTAACTGCAAGGTCAGCCATTCAAAACCAACAGCCTGTCCTTGGGAGAAAGATGGAGCTTTCTACTCCTGTAAAATCACAGTCTCAGAAACTCACAGAAGCAGTTCTACTCTGTCCTATAGGGTCAGTATGAGTTGGCATCGAAGCGATGGCTGTTTGTTTTTTTTAGGGAAGCTATGAGTCAGAATGGACTCAAGGGGTTTGGTTTGGGGTTTCATGTGCAGCGACCACCATCCATCGGTGGAAGTTAGCATGCTGCTGTGATGCTGAAGAGGAGTCCGTGGCACGTCCAGACTTCGATGGAGTAGGAAGAAAGGCCTGGAGATCTGCTTCTGAAAAGCGGCCAAAGAAAGCCTCTAGATCAAGGGTTCCATCCTCAACCCATGCAGGACCAGGTAAGTTTCCTTTTGCCATGAGTTGGGGGCCAATTGCAGGTCAGGTCCCAGCATGGTTTCTGAACACCAGCACCCACAGGGAATCCTCCAAGTGTTACTGCTATGACAAATACGTCTAGCTAAATCAACAGCAAGTCCAGCCACCCTGCCTCCTATAAGGGCCGTGCCTCAGGGACTTCGTTTATTGGAAAATCCACTGCTTTTCAGCTGTTTGCTGAACAACAACAAAACAAAACAACTCTGTAACCAAGCTTTTCACAGATACATCCACATCTGTTCGTTGTTGGAAACTAACCCCCCCCCTTTTTTTGTTGCTGTTAATCCATCTCCTCTACTAGGCAGCTCCAGTCAAGCCTACTTTTAATGTGATTTTGCAAGCTTTCACATAGGAGAAAGAAAACAATGCTTCGTTTATAAAGAGTGGTCCGGTATTAGCCTATTAAATGAGAAGTAAGAATTTAACATCGTTCACATTTGCCAGATGGGAGCCCTTATTGTCAATCAGGAGTTGGCAGCTATAGAGAAGGAAGAGCCAATTCTGTCCCTCACAACAATTTAAAAATTATTCGAGAGTCATAATAGATATATTTTTACAAACAAATGACATCCCCATGTTCTGGAAATGAAAATATTTTCATCTTCAATTTTACATCAATGTCAATGTACGTCTCAAAAGAGCCACATGTGGCTCAACAGCAGCAGTTTGTCGAGGACCCCTCGTCTAGATTCGTCCCTTGGTTTCTCAGAGACGAGAGTGCCTTAAAGAACTGAAGTGGGCATACCTGATTCCGTAACGAAGGAGACAGAGGGGCTGACAGGCCCATAGCCATGAGGGTTTTTGGCTTGAACTTTGAAATAATACCTGAAATTAGAAGAAGAAAAAAGTTTTGATAGAGACCATTTTCAAACTTTCTGGGTCAGGTGACGGATTCCAAAATGATTCACCAAATACTGGGTGTCAATCTTTGAGTCTTATTTTTACTTGTTAAAAACAACATAGGTCATCGGTGCCTCTTCATATTTTTTGACCTTTTCCATTTGGGGTTGACGTCTCGAAATCATATCTATGAAAAAAAACCCAGCATTGGCAGGTAGCACCAGGGAACAGAGAGGTGTGTACGAGGCTAGAGGGTGAGGCAGCACGTGCCTGTGTGACTTCTCGCCCCAAGGATTGTCACCATCTGCGCAGCTCTTTCGAGTTGCCTCTCTGATGCGCTGCTCCTCTGGCCCCACCTTGCTAGGAACTAGCTCTTGCACAAGCTCCTCCGCACTCCACCAAATACAATCCAAACTGATTTTCCTTCTCTTCTTTTTAAAAAGCAAAACTAAAAATTCTTTGTATTATGGCTTGGGTGAAAGTTTGCAAAGCAAATCCACTTTCCATTCAATAACAGATACACATTTTGTTTCATGACTTTGGTTGCAAGCTCCACTATGTAACTACCTGCAGCCTGATTCCTTCCTGGGTTTCTGTTCCCATTCAGCCTTCTCTCCTGCCCCTTCCTGCCTCCGGAGCTGTGTTTGGGGGACAATGCTGCCCTTTGGGGCTTGTATGGTTGATTGTTCTCAGAAGTGTGTTCTTCCCTGGTGTTACTCTTCACCGTATATACCAATAATAGGGCCAAAAGTTGGTCTCTGGGTGTGGTAGTTACATAATCTCCTCTCAGCTTGAGTGTAGAGGTGGAGTCTAGTCTGTCAATCAGGTCAGAGCCAATGAAGCCTCTGTGCGGGCATAGCCTTCTCCTGAGGATTCTGGGAACTCCTGTCTTCCTCCCTGGAGGGAGGACACACTCTCTACTTCATATTCTGGAGGAGCCAGGTGGAGACCCCTACCAGCCCTGAGATGCTCCCACCACCACTGGAGTCACAAGACTTTCCACCCGCTGGCCTGTGATCTTCCTGCATTCGGCATCAATGCATGGTTTTGTGAGTCCAAAGAGCAATTTATGGATTAGTATCAGACATATGGGCTACTATAAGACTTATGGACTTGATCTGGACTGGGTTGGGATGTTTCTTAATATAAAATTGTCCTTTGATATAAAGTCTCTCTTACATATATATGACTGTCAGTGGATTTGTTTCTCTAGTCTACTTGGACTAACACACTGGGGGAGGAAGGGTATTTAGTTCCAGGTTTGAAGGTTGTCAGCAGGGCATCTCCTTAGGATCCAATAGTTTCTATCAGATCAGTAAAACGAGTATTTTTTCTTTTTTTTTTTTCAGTTTGGGTTCACATTTTTCTCCCACTCTAGCCAGAACCTTGTAGTGTGATCCTGATCAGAGCAGTCAGTAGGGGTAGCTGGGCACCATCTACTTCTTCTGGTCTCAGGGTAGTGGAAGCTGAGCGTCAAATGGTTCAATAGCCCTTTGGATCCACTGTTTGCTTGTATCTTTGATTTTCATCACCTTTCTTTCCTCCAGTCAGTTACACCAATAGTTACACCTTCCACGGCTGCTCCCTTGCTTTTAAGATCCCAGTGACTACTTACCAAATAAAATGCAGAACATTGTCCTTGTGTGTCTATGTTGTGCCAATTGACCTAGAGGTCCCCTAAGACCCATGCCCAGTGACCCAATTCTGACCATGCGAGGCCATGTAAGACAGCAGGATATCTGACCCAGTCATGGAGCAACTCATGGTTGGCAGAGAGGATGACAGCAAGCCCAGGCACTGAAGAAAGAGAAGTAAGCCCAAGAAGGGGAAATGGTGAAGGCTTACAGAAAGAAGGCTTTGCTGAGGCTTAGACTTTGGCTTGGAGCAGAGAATGTGCAAGGCAGTACTTTTTCCCTGGGCCGATTGATAGCCAGGTAGGTGGGGAGTCACCTTACTTTTCCGTCTTATAAGCTAAAAGGCAAAGGGTGGATAGAAAAAGACTGGAGACCAACTTCAGGGTTGCAACCCATAGTCTTCTGTCTTCCTCTATGCTCAATCTTCTGTCTTCCTCTATGCTCAACCTTCTGTCTTCCTCTATGCTCAACCTTCTGTCTTCCTCTATGCTCA